GCCAACATCACGGGGCACAGAGGAAAGGACATGTCCACCATCCTTCAGGAAGCAGAGGAGGGCAAAGAGAACGGCCGGCCGCCTCTGCCTCCGCCTCCAGCCGGCCAGCGCAGGAAAAAACGCCGGCGACTGAACGACCTGGACAGCGACAGCACGGTGGACGAGGAGGAAAGTGAAGAAGAGTTTCGCATCAGTGAAAGGTGAGTTAAATAAAAAAAATAACGAGTTTGGTTTGCTCTTAGCTGAATACTGAACTTTGTCACGTCAAATATTTACATTTAACATGTTTGTTCGTGTCTCGATGCAGCTCGGAAGAAGAGTTTGTCTTGTCCGAAAACGACACGGAGGGCGACTCGGAGAACAGCAACAGTGACTTGGACAGAAAACGGAAAAATTCTTCGCAGCGCAGGAAGACGCTGAAACGGAGGCGGAGCTCCAGAAAGCGGCGAAGACCGAGAGGGTACTCGGACGATGAAGAGGAGGAAACGGACGAGGAGGATGAAGATGAAATAGGTATATTTTATTAAATGTTTTTACGTTTTTTTAATGTTTTTTTATGGTCTATTATTATTGTCATCATTATTATCATTATTTTGTGTGTCCAGTGACCGAAGGCTCCAGCGAATACAGCGACAGCGATCTGGACATGAGTCGACGACGGTCTCGGCGGAGTCAGAAGAAGCGGGTGAACTACCATGAGACGTCCGAGTCCGAAGGCTCTCAGGCAGAAACCAACCAGTCCAAGATGAAGCCCAGAGGGCGCCAGGACAGCTCCGACAGCGAGGGTCAGTCACAAACACACAGCAGATTTAGTAATAAAGCATTTATCTAATATGTCAGATAATTATATTACAAAATTTCCAACTAAAAGATGTCCCGTCCAAACTAGCTGCTGGCTTAAAAAGTGTGTTCAGCACCACGGACAGTGACATTAACATACTCAAACCTCACTATATGTGTTAGATATACATACCGAGCCTTAAATTAAGCTATTCTCAGAAATCTGATCATTTGTCATGTGTAGCTACTGTACAATACCACGTTTTAAATTATGTATTTATTTTACGTGTACTCAGTACGTATCAAATATCTGGAAGTGGATGTTTATAAAGAAGTGTTTGTTTGTGTTTCGGGGATATACAGCAACAAGTTACTGCCGTTGTGACATGCAACACAGTAAATAAATATATCGTATAAAGGGAAATGTATTTAAATACCAAAATGCTAAACATCATAAAGATAAAAGGGAAGCTAAAAATAATAAAACAATAAAGGTTAAGAGTAAAAAATGTGCTAAATACTACGACAGATGATCACAAAGAAAACCCCGTGAATCTTTTTGTGCCAGTGAAACCAAAGTTAGAGCGTCTTCAGCTTCTGTACTGAGACGTATTTATTAGGGAAACAGAATATTTGAGCGTTGTACAGTTACAAGACAGATTTAAATGAACCACTAAAAAGTGGGCGGTCTTAAAGTGTAGCTCAATACGTAGCTACAGAGGACCGTTGACTCCACACACACACCGCTGTCGCACATTGATCTCGCGGTGATCGTGGCAGAACTTCAGGCTGAAGTTGTTTTCTTTTCTCCACAGCGAATTCCTCCAAAGGCTCCGAGGAGGAGTCGAGGGACCGGAGGCTGAAGAGGAGAGCCGACTCCTCGGAGGACGACTCTCGGCAGCGGCGCCGACGACTCGCCCTCAAACGAAGGAGAGCCTCCGAGGACGACCACTCAGACGACGACTCGGACGAATCGTCGGAGGAGGACCGTCCGGTCCGTAAACGTGTGAACCGCATCGACTCTGATGACAGCGAGGAGGAGGAGGAGGAAACGAAGGAGAAGAAAGCAGACGAGGAGTCAAAGGGAACAAACGAAGTGGACTGCAATCCGGCGGAGCTGCCGCCCACCAACGGACAGAGCCCGATAAAGAGCCTCGTCAGCCGGCCTGCCACCGCCGTCGTCGCCGCCACACATCTGGAGCAACCCAAAAACATCAGCGCCACACTAGCTGTTGCCATCGCGCCCAACGGTCAGGTCGGCCAGGAGGTGGCGCCGCAGGAGGAAGACGAAGACGACCTGTTAGGAGTAACAGACCTCGTGGATTACGTCTGCAATAACGAAGACTTGTAAAAAAAAAAAAAAAAAAAAAAAATGGTGTACTGTTTCCTTTTTTTGTGGTATTGTATTTTTATATTGCTTAACTTTATTATCCCCCCCCATCAACACCTCCTTATCGTCCTTTTTACGTGTGTGATCTGATCTGGACCTCGGGTCTCAGCAAAGACCTGGACCACCAGTCTGTCCCTGTGGGATTGTTCTACAACGAAGGCACCAAACAATCAACGCTCTTTTGTTTGTTAAGAATCCGTTCATCCTCCTCATCGTCGTCATCCAGCTCCACTGCCAAACCACCTCCCTCCTCTCGCATAATCACGTTTTTTATTTTTGGAAAATGGAATAGTTTAAAGTGTAGGAAGTGGTTAAAGAAGAAGCCTATTTGAATGCCAAACGACTATTTTAAAGATATTTTAAAAATAAGTCATTCCATAAATGATTTAAAGTTCGGGGCATCTATTTGAAGAACAACCTTGGTGGTACGTTTTATCCCTTAAAAGAATAGTTTTACATTTTGGGAAAAGTGATCATTTACTTGACTCCAGGCAGCAGCCAGTTAGCTTAGCTTAGCTACAAGGGGGCTTCTTTCTACTGGTCAAACAGGACCAGAGAACCAGGTTGTTTGCTCCTAGCTATCGTGACTATGCTATGCTAACAGTAGCTAGCTATGTCCAACATGTATAAAAACAGGAATGTGCTGTATTTTAAGCAATTTTTATTTTGTCACTCATTTTTACACAGCAGATGAGATATGTGTTAATCAAAGAGCTTTCGAGGTGACAGTCGGTGCGTTTTGTTACCTTTTGAGCAAACCGAGGCTAGCTGTCGTCGTCTCTCTCCCCCCCCCCCCCCCCCCCCCCGTTTCCAGTCTTTGTGCTAAGCTAAGCTACCCCGACTGCAAGCCAGAGCCTAATATTTAACGCTCGGATAATTTTTAATACATGAAAGCGGTATCTAACTCAAAATGTCCAACTATTGCATCAAGCTATTCTGTTATTCTGTGACTTTAAACATCATGTGTGAAAGCTTTAGATGACTCTTTGTTCTTGTCGAATAACTTTCTAGACTAAGAACTAGTCGACCAGCCTTCTTTTGTCAGCCCCCCCCATGTTTCGTTGACTGATAGAGTAGCTTTTGTATATTGTATACATATATAATTATTTTAACTATGTGCGCTGCCATCAGTATCAGTGGTGAACCCTCTGTTGAGTTTGTTTGGGTTAACAAACGCTCCTAATCTTGAGCTCTAGTCTAGTTTCCAGTTATTACGTTTATGTTAACTTTTGTGATTTTTATTTTTTAATATTGTATTATTTTTTTTGTATATCTCAAATGTAAAGTGTCTTATTTTTTATTTGTACTTTCCTTCATAGAAGGGTTCAAAAACCTGCAAAACCGCTTTTATTAACTAAGTTAACACTAAGCTCCAAAAACACTTTTCTCTTTGTCTCCCCCCCCTCCCCCTTTTCCCCCCTGGGATCTTCCCGTGTTTCTATTCACGTTCTCTATTTTCATAATCTTGAGTTAACTTTGGGTCCGGTTGCAGTAAACCAACAACTTTTTAAGACCTCAAATCAAGATTGTGCAAAATAACCAATTTAGTGGAATAACTTGTTTTTAAAGCGATAGTGCGGATGCAGTTTTTTGAATGAGGGAAAAATGGACGGAAAACAAACAAACCAATGACTTCACTGACCTCTGCTGGAACCAGTCTGTGTGTATATCTGTAGTTTTTTGGCTGTAATATATTTAGAGGCATTTTTTTAATCTTGGGGAAAAAATATATATTGGGCAATTCTTTTAGGATTGCATGAGTTTTTAATAGTTTTCTTTTGTAGGGGAAGTAATATTGGCACAACTGTTGTTTTTTTGTAACAAAAACCAGAAAACTTCGGCATGTTTTTAAGGATCTCCTGATTGCGTTAGAGCTGAAGGACTTGAGACGTAGACACCGCAGAATCTCATCGTTTTGCAGTGAAACTGCATCGGTAAGCATGCACTGACCTACTAAAGGCATGTTACAGAAGCTCGGGGGGGAAGAGAGGGAGAGAGAGAGGATTATCTGAGGAAATAATCTAGGACAGCTGAATCTGATTCAAGCGAGGAAATCAAGCCTGTTTGTAAAATATTTTGTAAATTAGTCTCAGCATGGTCTTCACAGAGGAAATAAACCACTATTTATCATACCGTTATAAAAACCCGGCGACGGCCAAGACTTCCACGTCAGAAAAACCTATATGTGCTGCTTTGCAGTGCACACAACTTTGGCTTCTACACACACACACACACACACATATTTAGCTTTTAGATTAGCTGGACAGAATATAGAAGAAAAACCCAATTCTACAAATGTAATATTAGAGGTATGTGTTCTGGTGGGTTGAGTCGAGAGTAAAGGAACGTGGGTGTCCGTGTGCTGTATGTAACCCTGTTTTAAATTCTCCACAGACGAGAAAACGTATTCTGTATCTCACGGTTATGAAATAACCTGTAGCGAGACCTGCGTAGAAGAGAGGAGCGAGATAAATAAAAGGCTGCGATGGGATTAAAGGAGGAAGTCGGTGCCAATGACTGAAGTGTTAAGTTTCCTATTTACCTCATGACGAATCTGGGAGGAAAGACACGCTGTCCACCGTGTATAGATGCTAGTAGACTGGTTGTTGGTGTTTTGTCTGCTCCTTACATTTTTTGTTAACTTTACTGTTATTTCATATGAATCTGATCTTGTACATTTGTCATAATAAAATGGGTTTCAAGCCTCACGTCATCCTGTTTTAGTGACTTTTAATGTGGAAATTATACTAAAACGGTGCTTTTTTTTTCATCCTCAAATACCATTAATACTTTAAATTAATCAGTGCAATGAATATTTTATTTTACAGATATTACATATTTTATGTGTTGGCAATGTATTCTTTGTCAATATATTTATTATTGTCCAAATTCAAATGGGCTGGCGGAGTTGACCTAGCTAAATGCTAATGGCGGCATGCTAACATGACACAATGACAAGACTATATATCACAATTTTAATATATTTATGTGTCCTTGGAATGAGACTGATATAATACTCTGTCCTCAAATAAAAAATAAAGTTTAAGAGGTATATTTACCATTAAGCTTACATTAGCAAATGTTAGCATCCTCACAATGTTATTACTTAAAGTATTCGCCACGAACTGACTTAACAGTAGACATTTAGTTTATTTTCACCATCTTAGTTTAGCATGCTAACATTTGCTAACGTCAGCATGCTAACATGTTCACAATGACGTTGCTATTTATTACTATCTTAATATAATATGTATTAATGTATCCTAGTACTGATAATGATACAAGTAAAAAACAATGTAAAAAAATGTTAGTGGGCTAACATTTGATATATATGATGGAATTTCTGCTTTTAATTAGCATTAAGTGCTAATGTCAGTGTGCTAACATGCTCACAATGCATCTAATTATCTAATTAATTACTATGTTAATACATATATATATATATATATATATCCAAGTACTGACAGTGATATTAATAAATATAAATGTTTGGCAGACATAAATATTTTGCTATTTTAGTGTAGCATGTTAGCATTCTAGCATTTGCTAGATGTGTCATGAGTTTAGCAGGTATTTGGTTGAATGGTTTATTGTTCTAGATCTTTTCATAGTGTTTGACAGTGAACAGAAGAAAGCTACAACTATGATATCTTTATAGAAACTTCTGAGTACTTGCAAGTTGTTTGTTTGTTTGTTTTTACCCACAGACGGCACAGAAGGCAGCAATAATCCTGGGGACAAACCAGCAGCAGATTAAAGAAAGAGTCGGTTTCAGCTGAAGAATGTCCAATCCAAACATCCCCTCTGGCTGCCTGTCAGTGGTGGAATGTAACTACATTTACTCTTAAGTACTGTACATCAGTGCACCTTCAAGGTACTTGTATTTAACTAAAGTATTTCCACTTTACACAACTTTATGTCCAGTGAAAGCCATGTATCTCCAGATGTGTTGATGCTGAATTTTTGTGATAAACTGAAGGATGAAGAGTTCCCTTATCTTACTTCTTAAATAAATAAACTCTTTAAAGCCTCTTGTCACAAAGTTGTTCTTTTTAGAGATACGTGGTTCTCACAGGACAGCGACGCTACAAACATATGATCTTATAGAATATGATGCATTGATGAAGATTAAACTAGTTTAAAAACATGCAACATGCACAATAATGCAGCAGTAATATTAATCCAGAAACATAAATAATAGTAAAACACTACTGCACAATAAGTACTTTTACTTTTCATTCTTTTGAGTACATTTAGCTGATAATACTTTCACTTAAATAAGGTTTCGAGTGCATGACTTGTACTTGTGGTGGAGTATTGTCACAGTGTGTTATTAGTACTTTTACTTTGGTAAAAGGATCTGAATACTTCCTGTCAGTAGAGGTGCTGATGCAGCAGCTCCCTTTGAAGTTTTCCTGTGGAGTCCGTTTCATGTTTTGTCTTCGAGGTGTTAAATGTTAACTGTGCTGCAGCGTTGAACAGATTTAGCTGAGTCAGAAGGAGAGAAGGAAAGGAGGGGAGGGCACAAAGGTCAGGTTGTGTAACAGATACCACGAAGGCCAAAGTACCAGGCGAACGCTCTGGAGGTGCACGGGTTTATGGGCTTTTTCTTTTTTGGGATTATCCAAATCTCTCTCGAGGACCACGAAGGAGACTTCTTTAATCCATGTTCTCTGGTTTTATTAAATAATAGATGATTGTTTCATTCAAAGCAAAATAATCATCCGTTTACAATAATACTCAGCGACATTTTAAATGACAGTGAACTGATAACAAATAGACGACCATTGTTCAGGTGTGTCCCAAATCCATAAAACAAACATTCTCAGCAGGTTCTTAGTGCTGTAATTAACTTGTACTTCACTTGAGTATTTCCATTTTCTTCTACTCTGCTACATTTCAGACACAAATATTGTACTTTTCACTCTACATTGTTTAGTTACTACCCAGATTAACAACACAAAATATAATCAATATATTATATCATGATTTACTTTAAAGTAGCATGTATAAAATATATAGAAATAAATACAAAATTAGCTAGTTTTACTAGCAGCAATATTCAAGTAATCCAATATTATAATATATGTATATATACAGTATATAACCCTTATTCTGAAATGGGCCATTCTGCAAAATTAGAAGTTTTACTTTCAGTACTTTAAACAAAACTCATTTTTGTATTGAGGACAAAACCATCTTTATAAAAACACAAGAAATAAAAACCATAGAATGTGTAACTTTTTAAAATAGATGTTTTATTTAAAATATTTCATATAACATATTACAAATTCACTTAAATTACAACACTATTTAAAGCGTGTTCTCTAAAAATATATTGTACATTTTGCCGTTTCTATTCCTATTTGAAATAATGATACAAGAAAGAAAAAGCATTATTATCATCATCCAGACGTTAGGTATTTAAAGTTGTGAATTAAGTTGTACTTGGTTCACAGAGAAATGGAAGTTTCTGCAGTTTTAAGAGAGACAGAAATGCAAATATTACACAAATATACGTTTAACTCTTCACCCATATTGGAGATAAACAGTAAAGTATCATCAGTCAAACATGATGCATGCAGGGAAACGTAAAGATTGAGCAGAAGTTTAAAGCTTTGGTCGTCAAAACTTTTCTTTTACTGATGTTTACAAGTCAAGTGTCCCAGAAACATTTTAGTTTAATCAGAGTTTAATGCTTTGACAACAAAATAAACCGACATTAAAATCAGACAAAACCACCTAACGTTATACTCCTTCACATCGAATTCACTTCAACTCAATGCCTTTCCTATTTAAAAGATTTAAAAAGAAGTGTTGATTAGTTGTAACGTCAGTTATTATCTCACACATAAACCTGAGTTTTATCACACATAGCTTGGTTCGTGTGTCGCTGTATTTATTTAGGAAGGTCACTTGGACATTGAGGAGATGAAAAAGTTAAATGCAGGGACAATAAAAGTGCTCATAAATCTTAATGTCAAACTTATCGGCCCATTAACCACATCAACCGCTTGAATTCTTTATTTTTCTCTGTGTGCACTTTGGTTAATTTATGTGCATTAAAAAGTTACAATATTTTTACATTTTGTACTTCCGTATGGTTGCAGTGAGTCACAGTTACGCAACACTTCTTCTAAAGTGATGTCCTTTTGACAGTATTTCATGTGTGAAATATTTGTGAAGAGCTGAACCCACTGATTCAATCAAAGCTTTGTTTTTAACCTCACAGGCCTCGTTGTGCTATAAAAGGCAATAAGATGTGCCGGTCCTCACGTCTCTGATGCTACCGTGTCTTCTTCTTCTTCTGTTTGTGGACAGCGGGGACGTCCGGCCCGATGGTGCTCTTACCAGAGAGGAAGGGGATGATCTTCTCAAACAGCAGGATGCAGCTCGCCACGCCTGAGAGGGACACATGAGGAAGACACAGACAATCAGGCAAAGATATTTAAAAAGGTACGATTCATAAACTTCTGCTCCGTATACCTAAGACGGGTCCCAGCCAGTAGACAAAGCAGTACTCCAGGTAGGTGTGGCCGCTGCAGGGGAACTGGACGGAGAAGGCCAGGACGGGGTTAAAGATGGCGCCGGAAATACTTCCACCTGCACAGGAGGAGATAAAAAAAACACAAAAACACACATAAAACAGTTGCACTCTTTCATCATGTTGTGTTGAAATACCCAGCACAGAAAAAAACACGTTATTTTACACGTCTGTTGTGTTTTCTTGATAATGTAGAAAGAAACTATGTAATTGTATTTATTTATGTATTTTCAGGGACAATGTACACTGATCAACAACACCGTAAGTGAGTTTTTAGTAATTTCAGAACTAATTACAAAGGAAAAGAGACCACATTAAAATGTAGGACATAATTATAGTGTAAAGCCTCGTTTGTGTTGGAATGATTAGTTGATTATTAGTTAACGCAATTTACAAAAAGTTAATTGGCAGCAATTTTGATGTTTTAATTCCCATAAAAATGCTTAAAAGTCCAGGTTCTCTCGGGATTATATGATAGTAAATCTAATTGCTATGTTTTGGACAAAACAAGCAATTTGAGAACCTTGTAATTTATCATTATTTACTTACTTTAAAAACCTTCAAGGACACACAATGACACATTTATCAATCATGAAAACCACTGTTACTTGCAGCCCTAGCATGTGTTATATGCTATTTATTTTACTTTTATTACATTGCATTTTCTGCATTACATTTTTTTATCTAATTTTATTCTATTTTAAAATCTTTATTTTATGGTCTTTTGTTGTATTTCTATTTGTTTTATTTTTAATTATTGTTATATTGACTTATTATAATTTTAATAATTACATATAATAATATATATTATATATTATTCTATTAGGGTCCAGTCCATGATGAGCTGAATCTGTTTTGGGTTTTCTTCTTCTCCGTTATAGTTCCAGTCTTGGGCGCAGGTAAACCACCAGGTAATCAAACACACCTGTGTAAACCATCGCGGTGACGACAGCGGCGATGAAGTGAGCGCGAAGTTTTTGGTCCAGTCTGTGCACGTGCATGGCGGCAGCTTGGACCGCGAAGGCGCAGCCCAGCTCGACGGCCGCGGCCTCCAGCAGAGTCCCGCCGAGGGGGTCGAAACACCGGAACCCGAACCTCTGGTGCCGGACGTGGACCTCGGAGAGACCGAGCGACCAAACGGCGGCGGCGAAAAGCTGCGCGGCGACCGCAGCGGCGAACTGGCAGGCGACGAGGACGGCGGCCGCTCCGACGCCGCTGGTCCCGCGGCAAACGGACTCCAGAGCCCCGCTGGGATTGCACGTGGCCCCGCGGAAAGTTGTCAGGTGAACGACCGTCACAACGTAGGTGAGGGTGAGGCCGACCGGCGGCCCCAGCTGGGCCGTCTCACCCAGCAGCTTGAGCTCGTGCGTGCAGCTGCAGAGCTGGAAGGTGGACGCGGCTTCCAGCAGGTAGATCCAGTAAACTCCCGGGAAAAGACACGCGGCGGCCGTCCGGCGGACCGCCTCGCTGAGCAGCACCGCGGCTCCCAACACCGCCAAAGAGACGTACAGGTCGGTCATACCTCCGGTTGTTTCACACCGAGCTCACGGTTCAATCCAACTTTCTTATAAACAACCTGTTCCTTTCGACTTCAAAGTTGCTCCACGCTGCGGAGAGCTGCGTCAAATCCGCGCGCTGTGAAACAGGAAGCAACGTGGTTACGCCTTCAAAACAAAACGTGAATCGCAGCGCCTACAGTTGTGGTAGAAGTACTCAAGATAGTTTACTTAAGTGAAAGTAGCAGTACCACAGTGTAGAAAATACACTATATATATATATATATATATATATATATATCCCCGGGCGCCTCTCATTGGCAGCCCACTGCTCCCTATATACAGGGATGGGTCAAATGCAGAGACAAATTTCCCACTTAAATGGATCTATATAGTATAATAAAATTAAACTATTTTATTTTGGCAGGAAACAGGATGTGCTGTTGTATATTTTGACGTGCGTTGTAGGAACTGTTGCCCCTTTATGCACAGAATCCTGCATGAAATAATAGTCTATTTTATGAAGATTAATAATCTAATATAATGTGTCCAGATTTAGTGATTTGCCTTAAATTTGCAGACCTCGATATTGCCCGTTCTGTTTAAATGTTTGTTTACATAAGAACATTTTAGCCAGCAGGGTTTTCCCAACATTGGCTATTTTTGTTTACCGAGCCTGAGTCTATTTAATTTACATTAGTATTAATGTCCTGCCTGCAAAACAAAATGTCCTTCTTTATAATAATAAAGTTATGTATTTTATTATAATAATCACTTTTCTCCCAGAATCCCCTGATGTTGGGGTGTTTTTGCATCATTGGGGCAACAGGTGGCGGTCGGTGATACAGAGGTATCTGGCATCAACAGGAGCTTGTGTGAAGCTGCGTAGAATTTACAGTATCTTCATTTCCGTGATAATTTTCAAAATAAAATGTTTTGTTGTCGTGGCATTTAGTTTGAATCTTACCATGTCAAATTGAATGACATATTGATTTAAAAATAATCACAAGTTAAGATAACATTAATACCAATGTGTTTTGTGTTTCCGATAAAATATCCGTAGAGTAAACCCCGTTATAATTCGCAATATAAACAAAGTCAAAATCGCGTGCTTTAATTGTGAAGGCCGTTAACATTTTGCCTTCCGGTACCCGTGTAAACTAACCAGAGTTAGCTTTACTTAACGTCCTCATCCTCCGAGCGGCTCTTTATCGGGTGACCGAGGACGACCAGCGCACTGCGGCTTCTTTTCTGTCGTTTGTCGACCCGGAGGATTACGTGGAGGTAGAATAACCGACGCTACACGTTGATATTATAATAATACGCGCTGACACCAGATATGATGGCGGTGCAGCTTCATGCATTAAGGTTAGCTGTAAACAATAGGTCCCGTTCTTTCTTTTACGTTGAGTGTGACACCAGACTTCATTATAATAACACTGACATTTAGGTTTTATCGTGCTTTGTGACCAAAGCGGATAGGTTATTATGTTTAATTTATGTTTTTATGAATGAGTCGGATCCAGACTTAAATTCGGCTCACATACTACACACAAATAAAGCCGCAAAATAAATAATAAATATATGTGAAATAAATATATATGTGAGGGAAATTGACCATCATAACGACAGGATGTTAATCTTAAATTATGTTCTGGTTATGACGATAACATAGAAAAGCGTTGGATTATTAAATAGACTTTTTGGCAAGTTTCAATTCAAGAGCACCTTCATTGCAAATTGTTACACAACTGGCAGCTTTGTTAGTCTCAGGCTGCAAACAGTCCTGTTGTGCATCAATAATGCAAGTACTTTCTTGGTTAAAGGTTAAAAACAAGTTATTTTTCGAAGTTTGTTGGTGTAAATCATGAGTTTATAATCTTACACAATAGGTGTAACCATGACAGACAGAGTAATAAAGTACCTCCACAGAAGTACTATACGGAAGATATAAAAGGCTTTACATGCTGATCAATACCTTATAGCATTTCTGCATACTTTATTTCATAATGATAGCATGTGTACGCATACTTATGAAAGTATAATTTCAATCCACACTAAAGGAGGATTACAACCAGCTGGACTTCCCTTTGTTCTCCAGCAAAGATAATAAACCTGAAACACACCGGAGTTGCACAACAGCGGTGGTATATGTGAAGAAACCTTTTAGGGTGAAGAATAAAACAATCTGAGGCTTCACTTATCTGGGAACTGCAGCGAGGAAGATATTTCTGTTGATTTCCTGCCCAAAGAAAGAAACTGTAACAATAGTCTCCAGTAACTGAGTTGTTCCTGCTGAGACGTTGGAGCTGCAGGCTTGTTATTGTAAGAAGTCTGAGAGTTAAAGAGGAGTTGGGATGGTTATGTTTCAAGTGTGCACAGGAATGTGAATATAACGGTGTCCTAATTCAAGCAAATGTACTTATTTATGACTTTTATTCTGTATCAAAGTGTCTCTGTGTTGAGTGTTTAGGGGTGGAAGAATTATTTTATTTTATAAATTGATGACAAAACTTCATATTTTATAAAATCTCGGTATGTTTTGTATGCAAAAAATATTCATTTGTAGTGAAATAAAAAGTACAATAATTCTCTTTGAGGTGGAGTAGAAATAGAAAGTAGAATGAGAAGAAAAATACTTAAGAGAAGTACAAGTACCTCAAATATGTACTCTGTTACATCCCCACACTGGATGTAAAGGTGTGTTTCGGTGTTTCAGGTGAGTTGAGCTCAGGATGTAAAGGTGTGTCTCGGTGTGTGTGATCCGATGGCCTCCACGCTGTCTCAGCTGCGCGGTCTTCGTGCTAAGCTGCTGCGGCGCTACGACCACCGGCCGCTGGTCTCGTGTCTGTCCGGTCTGTACGGCTGCCGGTGGAGACGCCACGAGAGGAGATGCACGCGGCCGGGAGACTGCTGCTGCAACAAGGTCAGAGGTCGAGACGCGCTGCGGTCACATGTGACCTCTGTATGGGACGCAGATATCGGGAAGAGAGTTTAAGATTACTGGGATGGTCAAAAGTCTTACCAAAATAAAAGTCTGGAGAACTTTACATGAAACCTGATTTTCCAGAGATTCAACATAAGAAGTTTATATTGAGTGTACCTCACTTTTACTGTTTTTAAGTAATGTTACTACAATGTAGATACTATTAATTATCCTGCCTTCGTACTTAAGAAAAGGTATTATCAACTAAATGTACTTTAAGTATAGAACTTAAAGGTACTCTGCTTTTTTTTTTTTAACTTTTTGCATCAGTTTAACGATCAATATCAGTTAAGTAAATGAATAAACAATGAAATACTTTTAAAAGCTCGTGTTGCTTCATTATTGAACTGATGTTGTAACGATACACTTTGAGACCAGAGCTTTATCTTTTTACAACCAAACAGCTTTATTGTTTAAATTCCTCTCTCTCCATAGAGCTCAAAGATCAGTCGTCTGGCTCAATGGAACCCAGGCAGTAAATAGAGGATTAAAGGGCAGCTTATTAAAGGGTAGTTTAAAGAAATAAATCAACTTGTGTTTCATGTTTTTGTGTCTGCTGTCGACAGCTGGAAGGTGTCAGCGTCACTCTGCTTGTGGTGACTTTCTGCTTAACGCTGGTGTTTCTATACTTCTGGGGACAAGCGAAGAACGACTACAATGACTTTGACTGGTGGGTTGTTGATGAGCGAATATTCAGGACATGTTGTACAACAACTGCACACGTAAACATCAGTGTGGGCGCATTAACTGCTGTATTAGCTGCTGGAGGTTCTCCTGGTCCTCCATTAACCCTCTGCTCTATACTTTATACTTTATTCTAACTCATACTGGCTCCAGATTTACAGTTTTCTCATTTAAAAAATATATATTTTATAAGCATTTGTTTCCTTCACAGACATCAAAAAAAGCAGTCCAATGTGTTTATAGATAATTATTCACAAATATTTATAAATTAAAAGAAGACATTACATTAAAATAAAATACATTTAACTAAAATAAAATAAATAGAAAAAATAAAATAATTAATAAAATAAATAAATAATTGAATTAAATTAATTAAATTAATTAAATAAAATAAATAAATAATCAAAATTATATATAAAAAGTTTTTTTGTTTTTTTGTTTCTGTACTAAAAAGTAAATTTCGTTCATACATTAATACACTGAAAGCTGAAACACCAAACCACATTACAAGAAGTGTGTTCCAACAACTTAAAAGTACAAAGTAGAAGATTTTAGTCTCTTTTCTCTGAAAGCCCTTTAAATAATGCACGAGTGTCTTCATATACAAATATTAGTTTCTGGGGAATTCAGGACCCAAAGTCAGTCCAATTTGTTCAACAGATTCATGTTTAAACTATATATATATATGTGTGTGTTTAAGACTAAAAACAGAATAAACCAGGTATAAATAAACTGGTTATTTGATTAAACATAATATCTGTAACTGCTGACAAGTGAGACAATTTTCAAAGAAATGATTTCTTTAAGAACAAGAAGTTAGCATATCTCTCTGCACAGGCTGTGTGTCTACTCTTATTGTTGGATCCTGATTTAAATCACTAACAGTCTGTTTTCTCTTGATGACTGAGCAGGTTTAACTTTGGGAACCTGGGCTTCTGGTTTCCTTGGTCAGTGGTGCTGCTGGTCATCGCTGCAGTCTTCTTCACCTACGTGACCGTACTCATGGTGAGGCTAATACTCAACACTGCTGTGGACGTATTTTAGACACCTGAAAGAATCTATATCAGTTTAAGTGAACGCTATATTTAGAATATCTTTACCTCTTTATCTTGCTGTCAGACAGAACTTTCTGAAACTGGAGCAGTTGTCTCTGCTCTCTTCAAAGACACCAGACTCCATTGACAAAAACAGTAATTTGACCTCGAAGATCTCAGGAGTTGCTGGTCTACTGCTGCCTCGATCAGTTAGTTTGCTTGTGCTTATGTTTCTACTACGACTTTGTACAGTTTATCACCCGTAACATTTATTATGTTTGTGTGTCTTATTGCAGCTGCTGGCTGTGTGTTTGCTGTCAGAGGGCCAGAAGCTTTACTTACACTGGAGTCACAAGGTAAATGCTATTGAATTAATGTTTTTAAGTATCGTGTCTGAGGAGAATACAGCACCAGCATGTTCATCACAGACACCATATTATCCACGTGTAGATAGTTATTGTGCTCATACTTTCATACAAAATGTTCCAGCGGTGGCATGTAACTGAGTACATTTACTCAAGTAATTCACTTAAAGGACCAGTGTGGAGGATTTGGTGCCATCTAGCGGTGAAGTTGCAGGTTGCAACCAACTGAAACTTCTGTGGAGAAGCGTGTAGAACTACTCCAATGATAGAATATATAACAGCAGAACAATCACACCGGTTTTATGCTTTAATACCTTTAACTACCTTTTACTTGAATACATTTTCAATGAATGACTTTTACTTGTAACAGAGTATTTCACAGTGTTGTATTAGTACTTTTACTGCTGCTTAACTAACCGCCAAATCACAGAAGCAAAGCGGACCTACATCACATATTTATACTACTCTAAAACAGATATGAAACCTTTTACATTTGTAGAACTTCATGACTGCAAACATTGGTGGATGGATGACACGTTTCCTTTTTGTCAGATTGGGATCCTGGTGAGTCTGACTTTCTCCATCGTGGCCACCGCCGTCTTATCTGACCTGTGGAGTAAAGAGTGGACGACTTTACTACTTTCCTTCCAGGTGACTCTCCTCTTCCTCTTCCGCCTCCGCCTCCTGCTCTCAGTGTGGTTCTCCTCCTGACACTAGGCTTTGTTTTGTGTCCTGACTCCAGGTAACTGCACCTTACCTACATGTGGGCGGAGTCTTACTGATGACGGCGCTGGCTTGGCCGATAGCGTTGCATTTCTTTCGCATGAGCAGCAGAGGTGAGGTGTACTTTGTGTCATTTAACTTGCAAAAGAAAAGCTGTGGTGATGCTGAATCAATTAACACTCTGTAGACTGCAAACAAAATTTGTGTCTAAAAGGAATAGTTTGACATTTTGGGATATATGTTTACTTTATTCACATATTTGCAGAGAGTTCGATGACAACATTGATGCCACTCTCGCGTCTGTACGCTAAATAAGAAACTGCGGACGGTTAGCTTAGCTTAGCACAAAGACACAGCTAGCCAGGTTCTGACTAAAGCTAATAAACTCAAGCTACCTGCACCTGTAAAGCTCAATAATTAACACGTTACATCTCCCTTAAGGAGAGACACAGCAGGCGCATAGGGGATTATTTTAAAATATATATCACCATGAAACTTCCCCAGTTGATTACTGACATTAAGAGGATTATTTTTTTGTATTACAAGTTTTCTGAAATGATATGTTTAAATATGCAAATGAGGCATTATCCAATGGTAACTTTTGGTGAATTTAGGAGAAATCTACAGATGTAAAAAGTAATCAGATAAACTGTTAAATGTGTATTTTTGAAGTTTTATTCCTACTAGTCTGATAGAAGTAATGATATGGAAGAAAAATAGAGGAAAATCTCCAAATTTAGCAGTGCAGGAAAAATTGTTTCTCAATGGGTACAAAAAATGTTAATCATTTCATCTAATTCTACGCACAAAAACGTATTTCCCAAAATGCTGAATTATTCCCGTAAGAATGAAAAAAGTTATAATGAACCAATATTTTTGAAGCAAACGAGAGTAACTTGAAATAAAACCGATCATCCCACCGTATCACAATAACATTACTTGGTTTTTAAAAATACATTAACATGTAACTCCACGTAATAAAGAGTCTGTGTTCCAGTGAGGCGGGGCCTGATCCTGGGGGTGTACCTGTCCATCCTGTCGGCCCTCTACCTGGTGCCCCTCGGTTTATATTCTCCTTGTATCAAAGAGGACGGGACCCTGGGCCCGGCACCGGCCCTCATCGGCCACAGAGGAGCTCCCATGGTGAGCAAAACTATACATACTGTATAAAATAGCAAGCTCAGCTAATTCCTTCTCTTGTTGTCTTTTTTTTGAGCCGGATCCAGTCCCCCAAACCAGATCAGGAGAGGAAAGAAAAGAGGAAATGACAATTTTTTTTGAATGTTTTTTCTAGAAGTTACAACCAGATGTGAACTCTAATATTTGCATAGTTCCCATTTTGTATTGCAGCTGCTGCTTTTCCTCGAGATGAACAAAGTTTTGTTTCATCCTGAATGAAGGTCGGAGCTGCAACTAACAATCATTTTCACTTTTGATTAATCTGCCAATTAAAAAAAAACGGCATTCACTACTCCACTGTGAGGCCTTCAGGTCGCGTGTGTTAGCTAAAGAAGTTAGATTTACTGTCACATATGACCAAGAAAAGCAGCAAATTCTCACATCTGAGAAGCTGAAAACCAGAGAATATATTGGGCCGTCCTATGCAGAGCTGTGTGATATTAAATATGTTCTAGGAATCTGTGTGTCTGGTGTTTTTTATACGGGAACCCTCCTCACATCCTTCCTCTCCCTGTGTTTGAAACACAAAGACGATGCATTCCCCCTTTTCTTTAACTGTTTCCTCTGCTAACTGAAAGAGTAATGTTCTCTACTACTGACTGTTGCTGCTCGTGATGTACCGATGGTCTAATTATTGATTGTTTATCGGCTGTAAATCCATTCGCAGCTGGCTCCAGAAAACACAGTGATGTCGTTTGAGAAGGCCGTGGAGGCCGGAAGTGAAGGTCTGGAGACGGACGTCACCATCAGGTCAGTCAGCAGATGGATGTTTATGGTGAATTTATGAATTTATAGGTTTGTTGTTTTCAATACTTTACTGGTTGTCAACAGGAAGACAGTTTTTGAAACGGGTCCAGTATTGATGGATCTTGTTGTCGCCACTGACAGACTCAGACTGTTATAAGTTTCTGAACATTACAGAAAGAATCCTACAGAGAAGTTGAACATTCTTCTTATCTTTCACTTGATCGGTCTGTTTGTTATTCTGTGTCTCACTCTGAAATCTTTCATCACATACACTTTGTTGAAATCATCTAAATATTCAGACATAATATTTGCTTTCTGCACCTTCAGCACAACAAACTCTCGACTCTTTAACGTACTACAATTCTACATTTTACTTTCTATTTGTACTCGGACTTCAGTAACATCGATATCAAATATACTGTTGGTGTCTCAATGCTGTCGTCATGTGCTGGTTGCAGTGTCGACGGGGTCCCGTTCCTGATGCATGACCACACGCTGAGACGGACCACCAACATCCGCCAGGTTTTCCCCAATCGGACGGACACGCCGGCGGCCATGTTCACGTGGGCCGAGCTGGAGGGCCTGAACGCCGGGGCCTGGTTCCTCTCCGTGAGTCACATCCAGTAGAAAATGTACCGCAGTACTTTATTGTACTGAGAAGTTATTTTCTCAGATGGTTATCCTCTATAACATATAAAAATACAGCCGTATAACAAAACAATGAGGCAGCTGTGACACACGTCTTATTAATTTGATGTTGCTTTAAAATTACTTCTCCTAGCCAAAGGTGTCTCATTTTGTTAAATGCCTCGCCTCCTCCGCTTGCGTCTCCTGTGGGCGGGACTAAGACGCGACCATAGACTGTATATAAGAAGTGGACGTAGTCGTCGTGACGGCACCCGTTTTGAAGCTTTGAGTGCGGCATTTTGGCCGTAAACTGCTGTGGTTGTGGTAGCGACTTGTCAATCAGCGTGTAGCCCCGCCCTAAAGCATACCCTGCTTTATGGTCTATTTGACACTAAATGGACCATAACTTACGAAATGAACAATGAAACTAGAGATTGAGACCATAAACTCATGTTTACAATGTTTACTGAGGTAATAAATCAAGAGAGAAGTAGAGTCATTTTCTCATAGACTTCTATACAACCAGAGGAGTCGCCCCCTGGTGGACACTAGAGAGAATGCAGCTTTAACACATGAAGCATTGACTTCACTATTCAGAATCGGAGGTTGCTGCCTGGACCAAAGTATTGATCGTCATCAACTGACACATTTATCAACAGCTGTGTGTACAGATGACATGTGGCATTTAATTCCTCATCACAACAACAACACGTACTACAACATCAGCTGTCCGATGAAGAACGCATTGACCTGCACGTTATGTCACCGTGTTGTTCATTAGGTATTGATGGTTGTCCCTTCCAGCACAATCCGTTCGGTACAGCTGGCTCTCTGGGAGCAGACGACCGACTGCAGGCAGCAGAGCAGACGGTCTGCAGCCTGCAGGCCTTCCTCCAGCTGGCAGCTCGGACAGACAAATGGGTGATCTTTGATCTCTACCGTCCGCCCAGAGGCCACCCGTACAGGGACACCTGGATCCAACGCACGCTGGACGTCGTCCAGAACGAGTCCTCCATTCACTCCTCGCAGGTGAGTACATCCAGAACGAGTCCTCCATTGTTGGCTCCAGGAGCCTTTACCATGAAGAGTAGTGGATTAGCCGTCTATCCTCCGTGTGTTACCATCACATTAACGTCACAGAGCTAAACATGTGTTTCTCAAAGACTCTTCTAACCATCTAGATAATCAAATGCACAATAAAGAAGAAAGATTTTTACACAAATAAAAGTACCTAATGATATAAAACAGTGATGAATGATCAGCTGAACCTTCAGCTCCTCACGGTTTTATGGAGCTTTATAGTGAGGTTCAGCTCATTGTTTATCTGTCTGCTCACAAATGTAAGATAATATAAAATAAATAGTAACTTTATTTATGTACCACTTTTAAGGTTACAAAGTGCTTTACACACTCATCCACCAGGTGCTGTGGCTGCCCTCAGACCTGCGTGCTCTGGTCCAGGACATCGATCCTGAGCTCCAGCAGACGTCGGGCAGTCGGCTCCCTCTAGAGGACCTCCAGAGCAACCACATCGTCACGCTCAACCTGCACTACAGCTCCATGTCCACTGAGCTCACCAGGTGTGTGAGTATTAAAGATGTCCCCCCCCCCCCCCCTCCCAGGTGTTTCATAACACATCATGACTCCTCTCCTCACCTGTGTGCAGTGAGTACGCTGCAGCGAACATCACCACCAACCTGTATGTGATCAGCCAGCCGTGGCTCTTCTCTCTGGCCTGGTGTGCTGGAGTCCAGTCGGTCACCACCAACGCTCCCCAGCTCCTCAGCAGCATGAGCTCGCCTCTCTTCCTCATGGTAACACGTCAGATACACACTGTGTACACTCACACAAGTACTGTACTTAAGTACACATTAAGGTACTTCCTCCAGGGCGGTAACGGCAAAATCTTCAATTCCGTTACAGGGTTTTTACTGATGATTCAGTAAATAATCTACATTAAATAACCATAAAGCCTATTTTTAGTCCTGTGTGAATTGTACTGAGTGTTTTTAACTTTAGTGCAAAATAAACAGTTTCAAGTGAAACTATAGAGAGAAATATATAAATATTTCCAGCTACACACTGACTATGTTAACATGCATGCACACAAATGCATGCTTATCAGATTAAGACAATAGTTTCTCTGTGACTTTATTTCTGTGTCTCTCAGAGTCCAGACGAGTACAACCTGATGTGGATTCTCACTGACCTGGTGTCCCTCGTGCTCATCTTCATCATCTTCATCTTTCACTGGTGAATCTGACAGTTAAAAACTACAAACACCACACTGAGAAAATACTGCAAGTAAAAGTCCTGCATTGAAAATCTTACTTCAGTTAAAGTATTAAAAATATATAAATGTCCCTGTGACTATAAATATATAAACATATATATGAGATGTAGTGGAGTAGAAGTATAAAGTAGCATGAAAAGAAAATAGTCCAGTAAATGTACATTCAACCGGTGATGAACAGTGAGCATGATTACAGGAACGGTCGTCTGATCTCAATAAGAAACTAAATGTTTCGTTTGTTCGTAGGTGGCGAGAGAGACGACTGGCTTTCTGCTCGAGCAGCAAAATCACGCTGGACAACGGCACTTACAGCAAGTTCAGAACAGGTAGATTACTCTGAAGAAAAGTACTTTGTTCTCATGACTTGCTGTACTTTTCATGACATACTATGATTTATCTTTTTATGATATACTGTACGAGTAGTTCATCTCATGCTATACTATGATCTTTCAGGTGATTTTTTTAATTTTTTTATGGCGGTATAGTATGTGATTCTTTTCATGACATTTAATAAAATACAATGACTTTATAAGTACTTTTTTCAATAAATACTACACTATGACTTTTTAAAAAACTTTTCTCTACGTACTATACTTTTTTATACATTTTCCAACATACTATGCAATGACTATTTTTATGACTTTATCGACATGCTACATACTGTGACTTACTATATGAACTATGCGATGACTTTATTCGTCGTACTAGGATACTATGAATTTTTCATGACGTTAATTATTTTACTATACTATGACTTTTAAATGGCTTTTTACAACATATTATACTTTGAGTTTTTTATAACTTTCTTTCTTTTAACTTTTAAACATACTATACAATTACCTTTTTATATCTATTTTCTACATACTATACTATGTCTTTCCTATGGGATTTATATATATATACACTATGGCTGTTCAGGACTTTTTCCAACACACTTTACTATGATTTGTTAATATCATTATTTGATATTCTATACCATGACTTCTTATCTAGACCTTCCTTGTTTTTCCGTGCTCTCCGTCAGTTAATCATGTTTCCTTGTGCTCAGACCTCCACCTCCCTGTCAGCTCTTCTGGATTCCCAATCTCCTGCCTGCCTGTTCACTCTCTCAGCCGTCAAACACAGCTCCCCGTTCTCATCTGTTCATCCACGAGATCAGCTCAGGAACAGTCTCCCTCCGTCTTGCCCGTCTGTCATTATCTCAATTCTGGAAACCAAGTTTTGCAATAAAGCTTTTAATCCGAGTCTGTGCTGAATTCTGGGTTCACCCAACACTGAACTTGAATTTAAGAAAAATGTATTTATTGTGCTCAGCATTGTGTCGAACAAAAGTCATAAAAGAGTCGACAAGTGTGTCAACAAAAGGTCATGAAAAAAGTCAGTATGTCGTCGAGAATCTCACAGCATCAAGTGGAAATACACAAATAAAGTATCTCTAAATTGTACTTGAATTCAGTACTTGACTAAATGTAAAACACAAAAGACAAATCCAGTTCACTTTATTCCGGCTATAAAACATTCTGCAGAGAGGATGACTGTATGAAATACTAATAACACAATACTAAACTTTAATTCTCTGGTCACAGCAGCTGAATATTTTATTAGATTTTGTTGATTCATTTTCTACAAATATGAATAGATAATTCATCTTTTACTGACCCCTAAAAACACACCAGACGGAGACCTCTTGATGCTTCTGTTCATTCAAAAATAATAGAAACTAAAACCCTTAAACACCTTTTTTTTTAAAACTAAAGAACAAGTGTTTCATGACTTTCTCCAATCATTTGAGCCAGCAATCATGATGTATTATATGTACAATAATCAGATATTAAACATTTTCATTTGGCACCCAGATATTTAAGGAATGTGCAAATGCTTCTTATTGCTGAGTGCATTGTTTTTGATGATTCAAGTCTTGAAGGCAGGTTATGCAGTTATTAGAATGAATTAGACCATCAGATAATATCAATCAGTGGCTTAATGTCTGTGTGTTGGAGTAGAAAGACATTTACAGACAAATGGAAAAAACCCATTGATCATAATGTGAAGAATCAATACAGTTTACACAGTAAATCACCAATAATATAGATTTGTTACATTAAATGAAAGAGTCTCTCTGTAGAAGATCAAGTGTTTGTTCTACTCAGTGTGATTGACAGGAGAGATGATCAGAGGAGCAGAGTTTTCACCACCATCATTAAAACATGGATTAAAGTATGGGTAGAGATTCTCAGTGAAGCTGCAGCCAGTAAAGGAGTAGATAAGAGCTGCAGACTTAACATCATGAAAGGAGACCAGACCCTCCTCATAATCCACAAACACCCCCACCTTCTCAGGCTGACACTTCAGAGAGAGAAGGACTCTTGGATCAGCAAGAGCTTTGTAATCATTCTCATTCCTCAAACATATCGTCCAGTAACCTTTCTGAGGAGTCAGTGTGATGTTTCCCTTCCTGTTGATCGACTCTCTGGACACTCCTAAAATCCACTCAGTCTTCCCTTCAACCTGAACCTCGTAGTAAAATCTTCCTGAAGAGAAACTCTGCTTTGCTAAGACACACACACAAGAATCAAATCTCTCTGGATTGTTTGGGAGATCCTTCCATACATCACCAGTTTTAACTTGTTTTCCATCATCAGACAGGATGAGCCAGGGATTTGCTGTATCAGGATCAAGTGTCACATCCACTGCAGACTGCTGGACCCTCTTCAGCTCGGCCTCAGTGAGCAGCTTCTTCATCTGTTCACTGAGCGTCTCCTCCAGCTGGTTCACAGCTCTCCTCACAGTCCCCTCATGTGGTGGACTGACTCTGACTCCTGTCCAGTCCTTGGTGGGTGGAGCAGTGTTCAGGGTCCTGATGCTCTGGAGGAGGTGGAGGTGGTCTTCAGAGCGTGAGAGCTGCTCCACCTCAGTGCTTCTCTTCTTCAGCTCAGAGATTTCCTGTTCCAGCTCTTTGATGAAGCCTTCAGCCTGTTTCTCTGTCTTTCTCTGCTTCTCTTTGATCGTGTTGATGAGCTTGGCCTGGCTTCTCTCAACAGACTCCTTCAGAGCGGTGAAGACCTGAACACCATCTGCTATCTCTCTGTCTGCATCTTCCTCACTGAGCTCCACTGAGTGTTTGATCTCCTGAATCTTCACTCGTCTCTTCTGGATCATCTGCTGGATTTCAGCCTCAGTCTTCCCCAGCTCGGCCTTCTTTCCTTCATATTCTTCTTCCAGAGGAACAACATCATGTGTCTTGTGGTCTGAATAAGTGCAGAGCATGCAGACACACATCTGGTCGGTCTTACAGAACAGCTCCAGATGTTTATCGTGCTTCGTACACATCCTGGCTTCCAGGTTCTCCACAGGGTCGATCAGCTGATGTCTTTTCAGACCTGATCTTGTCAGATGAGGCTCCAGGTGAGTCTCACAGTAGGAGTCCAGACACACCAGGCAGGACTTCAGGGCCTTCAGTTTGGTTCCAGTGCAGACGTCACAGGGAACTTCTCCTGGTTTGGCAGCTTGTTGCTCTGAGCTGCTGCTGCTGGCTTTCTGTTGAGCTGACTGTGTGAACTGAGCAGCCATCTCAGAGATGAAGTATTGACCCGCAGCTCAGGTCTAGAGTTGAACACCTCTTTACAGTTTGGACACTGAGTCTGGACACTAACGTTCCAGTGTTTTACAGAAGTTGTGTCCACATGGTATGAGGACTGGATCAGTGAACACATCCAGACAGATGGAGCACAGAAACTGATCTTCAGTCAGCAGACAGCTGGCAGCAGACATATCTACACTCTGAGGACAACAAGAGTGAGAAAACAAACTGTTATCACATCTTCAGCAGCAGCAACAGTGTGTGTCAGGTATTGTGTGTCTCTGTGTGTCATCATGGTAGAATGTGTCCTGGAGACGCCTACTGTAGAGGAACATTACAGAAGAGGGTTTGAGTACTTTAGAAAGGTGCTCACTAAATAGAATTTAAACACAGAGTGATCCTCCATCACTGTCACATCACATATTAAATAATAATACTGCTACCCTGCTGCTTATATATTATTAGAGTGAATTTATATCATTTGTAAGGAGCCTAAACATTTTTAATTACACTTTTACATTGAACACATTACTATTTACTGACATATTTGGACCTCAGTTTGAGTTTGAGTTGAACTTCCTGTCTGAGTCGAGCTGAAGTGTTTGAGTTGAAACACAGTAAATATTATCAGCTGAACTTCCTCACAAACACAAACAGGAACTACAGAGACAGTGACCTTTAGAGGAAAGGCTTTACAGTTCAAGGATATTTACTAAAGTACAGAACAGTTATGTGAGTTATAAAACATCAATGTTGTTCCTCCATCATCGATAAATACATCCACACATTAAATCAGATGCTGTTCTCTGTGTTTGGACAATCCAAAGGGAGCAGCAGCTAGGCTAGTTAGCTTATCTGCTGCTACTTTGTTCTGGATCCTGGTTTGAACTCACTTTACACCAAATGTTGAGTTTCTCTGTAGAACAGTGAACTCACCAGAGTTTGTGAGACTCTGTTGTTGAGAAGAAGCTGCAGGATTCAGTTGAATGTTTCTTTAGAGAGAAACAGAGAGACTTGTCTGGACTGCAGCTCTGCTGTCGCTCAGACTAACTTTCACTTTCACTTCAGGAGAAGTGAGTCTGCAGCTCTCCTCTTTCAGAGTGGCTCCTCCTCTCAGTGAAGCAGCTTTTACTGCCTCTTTCAGGAATAACTTGACATTCAAATAACACGAGTTTGACTTTTTCCTTCTTATTCCTTTATTTCTTTGTGTTTTAAACATTAAATCTGAAATACTGTGTGTTTTTATTTACACATTTTAAAGGTTTGTGTGTATTTTTGTAAACATCCTATTGCTGCTGTCTTGGCTAGATTAACTCTTGATGAGATTTACCTGGTCAAATACAGGTATGAATAAAAGAACAATAATAATGAAATAGTATTACAATAAAGTATACAGCAGCCAAAAGAACAAACAAGTACAAGCAGACAACATAACAGAAGAGGTCAGTGTAAGATGTTCTATAGTATGTCACAAAAAAGTTCATAAAAAAATCACAAAAAAAGTCAAAAAAGTCCTTCAGAGATTACGCCACAAAAAAGTCAGAATAACATCTCACACAAAAAACTCATCAAATAATGACATCATAAATAATGTCATAGTATAGTGTTTGAAGAGGCTTGTACTGTAAGTGGACCTTGAGCTGCAGTTGTTTTTTATCAAACTGCCTCAATATAGGAATAATATTAATAACTCTGGATAATGACACTGTTCACTATGGTCTGCAAAAAACAGAAACTTTCAATGATATACTTTCAAAAATGTGACATTTATTATAACTTGAAAAAAATAACAAAAGGAATCCTTTTTTTACACTTTTGGTCACAATTATTAATGACAGAACATTGTGTTTTCTTTAAAGTCAGATAATTATCATTATTAGAGAAGCTGTGTGTAGGGACCATTAAAGAGCTCCTGTGACGTCAGACTCTGCACAGCTTCAGTGGGAAGTTCTCTGTGATCAGGTGATCATCATGAAGCACGATGACGACGTTCACTTCAAACTCTGAAAAGGAAACAAAGAAACAAAAAGTCACAAAAAGTCACAAGAAAAGTCACAAAAGGCCTGACGATGACCTCACAGAGAACATTGTATAGTATGTAAAACAATGATTTTAAGTTTATAAAAACTATTCCTTTACAGATTACGCCACACATCTTCGTCACGTGACTGTTGGTCTTAACCGAGTCAATCATGACTTCTTAGTTACACTGAAGAGCTCAGAATTTAATGTTTTTACAGAATCTGTTTAGAGTGAACGGTTTATATGAGGCAACATTTTAAATGAGACATGTAGAATAAAATGTTCTGATGAAATATCCCAATATTAAACTTATAGTCTCAGTTGTGTTTCTGATGAAAGCGTTCGTCACACACGATGTGTTCAAGGACCGTCGGAAAGATGAAAATATGACGATGACAGTTTTTCCAGCTTCTGGCTTTGAGAACCGGTGTAGATTTCATGAGTTCTTAAAAACAACAACATGCTTTTCCATCACGCCGGTGGGTTTTGGGGTTCAGAGGGTTAACCAGTGGAACCAGTGGCCCAGAGACTAACAGCAGACTTGGAGGCGTCACTGACCCACTTTGAAGTTGGTGGTCTCCAGTGTGGGGCAGGTGAATAGCCGGGGGAACACCATGTAGATGGGGATCGGGAGGCCGTGGCAGACGTCGCCTTCAGCTATCTGGATGTTCTGGATCTCTGTGGCGTCTCTGGCGTAACCTTCAGCACAACCTGAACACACAGCGGACATTTAGAAAGAAAACAAAACAACAACAGAAGTCCAATCATGTCACAACACGGCGTGAACTCACCGCAGGTTTCTACTCTCACAAGCTGCAGCTCGATGCTCTTTATGGGGACCTCTGAGTTCTCCACCATCACCTCTCCGGTCAGCGGCTGGCTGATCACACAGTTGGTGGCGTCTAAGTTGCCTCGGACTAGAAACTTTGGCAGTAAACTTCTCTGAAAGGCAGAAAGAAAGTTAATCGTCTCAGTGCAGATGTTAAAAAGGAATAGTTCACCATAAAACCATATCAATTATATAAAGTACTCATCTTCTCTGGGCTCTTTATGGAACCAGAGAAAGTTTGAATAGAGTGCCACGAAAATTAAAGCGTCCGAAAGACAGCAAACTGTTTTATATATAACATCTGCAAAACTCTTATTTTTCCTAGCCTATAAATGAATGAAATCAACAGCCCCAGCAAGCGTTAATGTCGAGTCCTGAAATAAGAAACGTTGTGTGCAACCATGAAGAGCGTAAGGATGTATTCAGCTTAGATTTCCTTTGAGTAAAAAAACGAAATGAGGAAATAAAATGAGGTCACTTTTCTCACCTCGCGGGTGTTCTGCAGGGTTGCTGGAGTGATGGTGAAGTTGACCGGAGTGGGAACAACTTTAGCTTGCTGAGGCTGGAAATCAAACAGAGCAACAAGTTAGCTCAACGTGGCTAACATCTCATCAAGGGGCGATAGTTAATAGTGATCGACAGGAAGACACATATGAGATGTGACAAACTAAAGAGTAGAAATATACAAATACAAAAAGCTTTAAACGGTCTTGTTTGAATCTTCACGGTAGTTTAAATGAAATGCGTCTCACTCGCCTGACTGTGAACGATGAACTCACAGTTCCTGCTCAGGTCTTTGGCCAGCAGGGGGCGCTTCATGTCACAGCGGAGGGAGTACTGAGGAGAAACACAAGGAATGTACCACAACTATTTCAATCAGATAGCTGCTGGAGCTGGACGATGCTACGCTATGATTGGCTAGTCTGCATTTTAGAGGCGGGACTTAGCAAAGGGTCAATTTGCCCGTTATAATATATTTTCTAATATGAGAGTGTATGAATCCATCGCTTCACTGCCGTTTCCTCAAACTCTGGTAGAATACGGTGGTAGAGAACCCGTGTGTTCCTCGCTCACCTGAATGTTGACGAAGACTCCGTGGTACGTCTCGTACAGAACTTTGTTTCCTTTGGTGTTCAGAGGGAACTCAAAGGGGATCTCAGTCTTTCCTCCCGGGATCTTTCCTGCTTTGGCCACCTCGATGGTACTGCTGATCAGCTGGATGGGCTGAGAACACACCAGGTCTGATCAATGGTACAGTACGACATCTCAGGAGTACTTCCTACTGTACTACATCTCAGAGGTACTTTTTACTGTACTGTATTTCACCTTGACGGAGTTGTAGAAAGCCTCGAAGACGCCGACGCTCTTGGAGCTCAGCTGCAGGTTCACCAGCCCCTCCATGTTCAGAGAGATGCCGTGATGCTGCAGCACCTCCTTACACACCAGCAGGACGACGCCGGCCACCGCCTCCTGCAAACACACCAGCTCTGCTGTGAAGGAAACTACCGACGACACTATAATATAATAAACTATAAATAATAAACTCTGATGCAGCATTTCACTGCATGAAATCTTATTGCGTCCAGACAAACACCAGCATCTGTACCGGTGTTACACCAAATTATGTCACCATCACATCTCTCATACACATATTGTAAACAAACAATTGAGCTACAGCTCCTTTCTAGCTCTAATTAATAAAAATATTAGTTTAATTACAATAAAAGCAGAAAAAGTTGCACTTATAGAAGTATAAGTAAATGTATAAATACATCTAAAGCTGTCTAATAAATGCAATGGAGTAAAACTACAATATTTATATTCAATATTATTAAGTATAAAATATAAAGTAGTTAAAATAGTAGAGTATAAAATAGCATAAAATGGAAAATACTCAAGCAAAGTACAAGTACCTTTAAAATAAAATAAAAGTAAATGTAGTGACATTTATATTTTAAATACATGAAATATAAATTAATATTAATATGAATAATTAGAATGTATATTTAAATAATATGAAATATACATTTATATTTATACATTTAAATTACACAGTAAATGTATTTAGTTAAATTCACACATCGTAGTCAGCTGTTGGTCACGTGCTGAATCAGCTGTTGGTCACGTGCGGACAGGAAGCCGCCTCCTTCTTCCTAGCTAACTATCAAGCTAACTGTTTCTTAATAGAATACAAGTCTTTAACTTTACGTTAAAGACCACGACAGTGACGTAAAATAAACAGCTGATAGAAGCAGCTTGTTAGCTAACCAAGCTAAATAAGCTAGCTGTGGTTAACGTCACTTACCCCTTCATGGTAAACTTTGTTCGCTCTTTTCAGCCTAATATCCAGAGTGACGCTCATCTCGGATCATCACACGTCACGCGGACATGTAGAAGAACTTTCCCGGGCTATGAATAGCCGATAAAAACAGAGAAATAACGGGTTTTAACTAGAATATCGTTCACTCGACTGGTGTGTGTTCCGCTCGGCAGCAACGACAGTACGACTTCCGGGTTCAATTCTTCAGAATAAAAGCGGCATTTTTTGCAGAAAAGGCTTCCTTGGGTTAAATCCTTCAAAGTAAAAGCGCCAAACAAACACAAAACAATATTGATGGTGTCAAGTACTAATACCACATTGTAATACAATAACAGAGTAATTATACAATGATTGTAAAATTATATATATTAATTTAATTAATAAAAATGTAAGTGCAAAATTCATGCTTTGTTCCTACAACTTGTATTTATTTTATCTGTAAAAGGAAGGTTTTCTGTTTTTTTAATTTATTTTTAAAAGTACAACGCTTTGAGCTACATAGTCTGTATGAAATGTGCTAAATAAATAAATATTATTAAAAATGTTACTGAATTAAAAGTACAAACATGTAAGCACCAAAGTAAAGTAAAAAGTACCAAAAGTAAAAGTATTCATTATGCTATATATTATATCATATTACTGGATTATAATTATTGATGCATTAATATATTAACTACTTTCTGCTGAAGAAATAGTCCAAATGAAACCTGCTGACAGTGTTTTTTTTTTTTAATTGTTCAAGGCTGTGAGCACCTCAGGTCGAAGTTAATACCTCAAAACCAAAACCATCCGCATGAATTGATATCAATCGAGGGAAGTAGTAAAACCTTTACATGTATTTTCTAGCTGAGCAGGTTTTTAATAAAGTTGCTGTTGATCACAATGTAAAAGATCAGCCGTGTTGTGGTTTGAAAGATTGTTTTTACCAGATACAGTCACCACACACACACACACACACACACACACACACACACACACACACACACAGTGTGTTGCCACAACAAAAGACAACCTGAGACGGTGGAGCTGGTGGCTGAACCTGTTTTGTCCTTGAAGAGGCTCCATACGTTCATCTCTTAATCCATTCTCACTTATTCTCTTACACCGGGTCAGATTCTGGTGAACTCAGAAGAAATCATGCAAGTTCACCAGAAACTCCTCCAGCTCAGACTCCAGCGGAGACCGGTCCACCGTGGACAGACCCAGATCCTCCAGCGGAGACCGGTCCACCGTTCCTCACAGTTCCAGATCCTCCAGCAGAGACCGGTCCACCGTGGACAGACCCAGATCCTCCAGCAGAGACCGGTCCACCGTGGACAGACCCAGATCCTTCAGCAGAGACCGGTCCACCGTGGACAGACCCAGGTCCTTCAGCACAGACCGGTTCACCGTGGACAGATCCAGATCCTCCAGCAGAGACCAGTCCACCGTGGACAGACCCAGATCCTCCAGCAGAGACCAGTCCACCGTGGACAGACCCAGAGGGAGGAGAGCTCAGCTCCCGGCAGCAGCATCATCTCCTCCTCCTCCTCCTCCTCCAGGAGCAGAGCTTCTCCTCTCTGGGAGCCAACACCGACACCACGCTGCTGGAGATCCAGGACGTATTGCTGGACCCGCTGGAGGGAAGGGAGGCAACGGGAGAACCAGAACCAGGACTGAGAGGGGCAGACTGTCAGACCTCTGCTCACTTTAACAATCACTGATTTAAAGTAACAAAAGCAAAAGTACTCGTTATGCAGAATGTCTCAATAAAGAATAATATTTATTATATTGATGGATTTTAATTATTGGTGCATTAATGTTATTTATTGCTTTAATCTCTAATAATGAATCATAATTTATTAGTTTTTTTATATTTCAAATGAATAACCTGAAAAGTTAGAAGTAGAAACTTACTACACGTACAAGTATGTCAAAATTGTACTAAAGTACAGTACTTGATTACATTTCTGTTTTTGCAAAAAAAAAATCATTTAATTTGAACTTTTACTTTATGAAGAAATCTTTATTTACAAAACAAAACAAAACCTCTTTTGTACCACCCAGTGTATTATTATACCATCATCATATATCTGCCCATCCTAAAAGCACAACAAGCACACCATCTATATTTGTTCCCATGAATCACATCATGTACAGCCTTATTTCATTCCCCCATAATTACTTTTTGCACTTCTAATAAGTCGTATAAAGACCAGAGGTGGATGTTTGTGTCCTACACGTATGCAGCCTGCTTTGACTAGTTTCTCACATCTCTTATCAATTGTTATGTATTTGCTACATAAATACGAACCCATTTTACCAAAAACTATTTAAAGTTATTCAAAGTTATATTGTTATAAAAGTAGGATTGTTTGTGGTGGATGGATTGTGATGTTGTAAATGTGTAAAGGGAGATTCTACTGCTCACGTAATTGTATAAAAATGCAATATACGTAATTGTACTGGAAAGAAAACTAACAAACCGTAGCCATGACATTCCTCCTCTATTCCTTCTTAAAGTCCTCCTCCAGCTTGAGCTTCTCCGTGTTGTTGCTGAGGAAGGCGGCGTCGTTGCTCCCTTGCACCTTGTCGAAGAAGTTGAAATCCGCCACGTAGCGGCCGCCGGTGGTGCTGAACAGCACGGGCTTGAACTCGTAGCCCCAGAGGATCTCCTGGGGCACGTAGGAGGTGCGGCTCTGGCAGGTGGCGGCCGTGGACTCCATGGTGGCGTTGAGGGTCACCAGCATCTCGAAGTCGCGCGTCCGCAGGTTCACCGCGTTGAGTCCCGCCAGCGGGCTGTGCTCGTCCAGGACGTGGTAGAAGGTGAGCGGGAGGATGAGGAAGGGGCACTCTCCGCTGGAGTCCATGAAGAAGTCCACGGAGCTCTGGTGGATCTGGGTCTTCTCACCTTCCTCCGTCACGTTGGAGTGGAGGAGCTTCCCCGTCAGCTGGCACTGGATCAGGAGGCTCTTCCTCATGTTGGCCACCCTCACCATCAGACACAGCTTGCCCTGGCGCCGGCACACCACCGCCGACTGGCTGAACTTGATGGTCTCCGCCCGTTTCTTGGGGCGGGCCAGCTTGGCCAGGAAGGCGCCCGTGATGAAGATCTCCGCCAGGCCCGTGATGACGAGCTGGGCCACCAGGGTGAAGATGGCCAGCGGGCACTCCTCCGAGATGTAGCGGAAACCGTAACCGATGGTGGTCTGCGACTCCAGCGAGAACAGGAAGGCCCCCGTGAGGGTCTCCACGTTGACCACGCAGGCCGTGTGGTTGGCGTTCAGACCGTGCTCGAAGTCCCCGTTGCCCATGCCGATGAAGTAAAAAATGACCCCGAAGATGAACCACGTCATGACGAAGGTGGAGGCGAACAGAGTGAGCTTGTAGCGCCACTTCATGTCCACCACGGTGGTCCAGATGTCGTGCAGGTACAGCTTCACCATGCCCTCCACGTTGTCGATGCGCACGTTGTTGTGGCCGTCTTTGGACACGATCCTCCGCTGGACCTCGGCCTTCCGGGTCGCCATGTTGCTCTGATGGTGACCTCTGAGGTGTCGGTATGGCGTCGCCAATAGAAGGACTGATAAAAAAGAGATTTATATCCAGTGGTGGAATGTAACCAAGTACATTTACTCAAGTAATGAGTATTACGCTGCTTTCTACTTCCACTAAACTATCTCAACAATCTACAAGTACAATTTAGAGGAAAATATTGTACATTTTACTCCACTATGTTTATTTGATAACTAGTTACTTTACAAATGAAGATATTTGCACACACAACTGAAGTTTATAAAATACAATGCTTTCTTTGTTTGTCAATTATTCAACTGAGAAAATGAAGTGGTATTTTTCATGCAAAACATTTGATGGTTTGTTAGTAATGTTAATGTTTTAGTAATAATGTTGATGTTTGGACTTAAACATTGTGAAGGTGTCACTTTGGGCTCTGAGTAATTGTGACGAACATTTCTCACTATTTTCACTATTTCTACAAACCAAACAATCGATTAATGGAGAAAATAATCTTTAGTAAATACTTCAAAATGAGCTCCAGCTAAACCAAATACAAAAGTAAAATCCTTCTTTTACATTAATGCATGAGCATTAATAATCTAATGATATAATATATATAACAGTATTTTGTATTCTTTTAACACCTTTAATGACGTTTTCAATGCAGGACATTTATTTGAAACTGAGTATTTTCATAGTGCGGCCTTATTTTAGTCCCAGTACTAGTACTATACTCACAATGTAATACTTGACAGTGTGAAAAATACTGTATTTGGTCACAGTTTTTGTAACCCTGAATACAGAGGAGCTAAATTAGAAAAAGATAATGAACGTAGTAGAAATCCTCACAATATTTAAATACCCCAGTACCTCAAAACTGTATTTAAGTACAGTCCTGTGTATTTGCTGAAACAATGAAAAAAACTTCAAGATTTGTCCTCTGAAGACGACTGAAGTACAGCAGAGAACACAAAAACAATATAATACTCACATTTAATGACTGTAATATTCCACAAAACTAAATGTTCAGCTAAACACACGGTGTCTAAATAAAATACTGCTCCTTCAGATTGCAACACAAAGACATAAAGGTTGAAAGTTAACTTCATAGTGAACCATTGAATGAGCCCGAGAACATTTGCAGTAGCTCTGAATAATCATTGATTTATAAATCACTGTATTGTACTCACATCCCCGCTGCAGCGTTGAATAGTCTCAGGTGTGTGTTTGTCTCAGCTGAGTCGCACAACAATCTGTAAGACGAAGCTCGCTGGAGAACGTCTAGTTCAGTGTCTTCTTTCTTTCTATTGTCCCCGATGTTGTGAGCGATGAACTTTGGCACAGTCGTATTCAGAGGCCGCAGAAAGAAAGAAAAAGCCGAGGCGTAAACTCTAATCGGCAGGTGGGCCGGCTCTTCTTCTTCCTCAGCCCCCCCCCTCGTACCTGTCCACAGGTGGGTTTGTTTTGATCCTTTTATGGTTGTTGTTGCTTTACACAAACCATTTACTGCTTCCAGGTAGTTCTCTCAAGGACATTAGGACTTCTTGGGTGTCAGCGTTAAAACAAACAAGTAAACGAATAAATAAATAAATAAAATCGGTCCGAGACTGTCTATGAAAATTACAAAAAGATATATTAAATAAAGCTGATGTGTGACAGTAACCTGAGACTACGATTGAAAGAAGTTGATGAGGCAGTAACTCCTGAATTACATTTATGTTTTATTAAGTTGAAATTAGCAAGAGCTGGGTAAAGTTGAAGAGTCTTTTGAAGCTCAAACTCTGAAAGGAGTTGAAGTGGCTGACTATCAGTTAAAGTGAAGAATTGGTGTCAGTTGAAGTGTAAAAACTGAAAGCAGATGTCAGTTGAAGTGTCATTTGATGACTTTAAACACATCAAGTTAAATATTATTTTAAAATATGGGCTGAATTATGAGTAAAAATATAAAATCTTAAGAAGTGTAACCAGTGAAAGCAGTTGAAGTGTGGTGCGAGTGCTGAAAGCAGTTTGACATGAAGCGTAATATGAAGCGGAGATTCAGACCTCTTATGTTTCATCTGATCTTTCAAACTCCTCTTACAGCATCACAAACACACACTTCAACTGCTTTCAACACTTCCACCTCAATCAACACTTCAACTCCTGTTGACGCTCAACTAAAATTACATCTCTGAGGGTTTTTCATTTGATCAGAAGCTAACCTCTTCCAGGAAGTCACTTCAACTGAAACTTCTGGCTCTTTTGATCGCTTTTACTTCATCTGAAGTTTTTCAAATCCTTTCTACGCCGACATTTTAGGGCCAATGTAGGTTAAAAAAAAAGAAAAAAGGAAAATAAAAACAGAATTTCCAAGATTGAAGTTTTAAATTATAGAGAAAACTGAGGCTCACCCTCATCACATCACAAACGCCACTGTTAGTCGTGTATTACTATTATGAATGGAAGTGTATGGTGTGCAAACAATGAGGCGGTGAACACGTTTTAACCATAACAATGTTCAGTAAACATTGAATGTTTCTTTAAATTTTGACCACTGGTTGTTTAACTTTATGACCTTGTATCAGTCGTCTTGGCTTTGTTATTAACCTCATTCTTATTAGCCACATTCCTGAAGGCTTAGTGTGTGTGTGTGTTATGCAGGTAAGAGATCACTAATTGAGTTCCTTGTTCCTTTGACTTTACCTACATTTACGTACCAGTAAGAAGGAACATGATTCATAAATCACGAGCTGCATCTTAAACCTACCGTTGCAGTCTGGTGGGTTTAATATCAAAACATATTCTTTATGAAATGCTTATTTTTGTCAATGCGTCAGAGATAGATTACAGCAGCACACCACTTACAAGTGTAAATATTTTTGGAGTCAATCAAATGTTTGATGTAAAGTCAGATTATTGCTTTTCAGCATTTGTTTAAATCCTAAATTTGACAGTAAAGTGTTGATGTGAGAACTCTGTGTAGTTACCCAACATGTGACCTCTAATGGTTTAGACTTTAAAAGTGTTGTTTTTCTACATCTATTGATGACAAGGCGGTTTAACCAAGATGAAGGAGTCCAACATCATCTAGTGGACAACAGGTATTATGCACTATATGATGCTGATAATAAACAATAACATCTGACAAAGAACGACAAACACTTGATTTTATTTACATTCTCCAGCCCCCAGTGTATCAGGTACGTCTGGCTAAGTAGTAGTAGTAGTCGTAGTAGTACGTGTTATACCTTCTCTGAGGATGTGTTTAACTACATATTCATTCATTATTTGTTTATTTACACCAGTCTACACTTGCTCACAGGAGAAGATATAACGGTTGAAAAATACATTATTATGTGTTTTTATCTGCATACGACTATATTATAGCATGTTATAGATCTTTATTAAATGTTTACGTATTGCTGGTAAATGATATTTGGGGGATTTAAAGTAAAGTGGTGCAGAATACAGATTAGTTCAGACACTCGTCCACAGCCTTTAATTCTTTAGTTCACACTGTGCTGCTGACCTTTATTTGTTCCAGTACGTCAACAATAAGCCGGTTTGTTTGTTTCAGCCACAAGTCCAAACTGGAAAAAAAGGTTTTCGGCTCCAGAATGAAGAGCTCTTCCACGTGTATGAACCTAAAGAACGCTGGCTTGGTGTCCGAGTGTGCCAGGTACACAGAGCTTTATACAAAACCATGACGTAAGCGCTTTAACGTGCATTTCACACGAAAAATAAAAAAATAAACAAGAGTAACTTGAGCTAAAAATGTAAACTTTAAAGTTTGGATGTTTTCTTCCTCTGGGAGCAGGAAAGTGGATTTTGTTTGACTTGTGTTGTAAAAGATGTGTCAGCACATTTAAAGGAAATGCAACCTGATGAGGTCTGGGTGAGGTCTGATGAGGTTTTGGGGTTCACCTCCTCATCCCGTATCAGGACCTATAAATAAATAAGAAGTTCTTCATACTGTCAGAGCTCACGGTGGCGGGGGATTAGCGGTCGTGGCCTTCAGGATGGCTCGCAGCACCTTGTGGTTGTTGAGGGGCTGGTTCTCTTTGGGGGGGTAACAGGGGCCGCGATCCGTCGAGTAGGAATAAGGGAACCGCAGAACCCAAAAACCGTCAGGCGGCAACACCAAATCTGTCTGCTCCGGGTGGAACACTGGGCAGGGAGGAGGACCGGGCTGCACCTGGAAACACAGCAGAGTACAATTATTTCACTCATACGTCTCTTATTAAAATATGGAAGAAAGAGTTTTAATGACTGTGATCTTTATATCTGAGATAATGAAATCCTCGGGACGTGTAAGTCAATCTAAAAATATGTGTTTCATATCTGTGCGTTCAAAGAAGATGCATCTTAAGTAACTTAATTGTCTCCATGAGCTTTAACAAAACAAGGTGCCATGGTGGTCAACCTGAAGGGGAGGGGCTTAGTCTCTCTATTGTCTGGTACAATACCTCTAAACTTTAGAAGTTTAGATAACAAAGAAGTCGTAGAAGTGAAGTGGACTCACCTGTGGGTTGAGAGTCACCTCCAGAGGGGCGTCAGGTACCACAACAAAAAGGCGAGTCAGCTGGGCGAAGTGAGACTTCAGTCCGCGGCCCTGCGAGGGAGACGGGATGTACAGCGGCATGTCGGTGTTCAACACCCTGGTGGCGGGGTCTTTGGCGCCCCCCGGCCCCAGAACCTTCACGATCTTATCCGGCCCGCAGCTGATGAAGCGTCTCCCCCGGACGTCCTCGTACTCGAACCCCACGAAGATGCGAGCCACGTCGTCCCTCCTGCGGCTCCGGCCGAGCCCGCCGGTGCTCCCCCGCTTCCCCACCAGGGTCTTGTTGGGGGCCGGCCACGAGGAGGTGCCTCCGTCCAACGGCTCCGTCAGTCCCGTGTTGTCCTCCTCTGACCGAGAGCGGATCACCAGGTCCCACGGCAACAGGAAGGAGGAGCCGGGTAGGAAGCCCGGCTGTTCCAGACCCGTGTGGCAGTTGTAGGACTTGGCCGGGCCCAGTTTGACCAGCGACCAGCTGGAGAACTTTGGGAGCAGACCTTTGGGGCAGCCAGAGTGCATCATTCCCGGGAGGTACTCCACAGTGGAGGGCTGCCGGTCCACGAGGCTCGGCCTCTTCTGGACTTGTGTTTCAGTTCCTTCTCCGTCCCCGTAGGGCCCCAGACTGTCGGTGGACTGGCCCAGGCTGAGAGCCAGGCTGAGGCTGGTGTCCGCGGGCGTGTGGCTCTGGGCGGTGCTCGGCTCCTTCAGCTGCTCCACCTCGCCGGACACCGACGCCAACGCCGGCGCCAACGCTGGCGCCAACGCCGGCGCCTCGCTCGGGGGTTCCTGAGCTTGGTTGCAGGCCGGGGCCGGGTCGGGGGTGCTGGGCTGGAACACGGGGAACTCGATCCGCTCCAGCTTCCCGCAACATTTCTCCTCCAGCAGCTGATCAGGAAGAACATGTTACACATACAACATACTGTTCCACTGTCGACTCAATGTGTTTCTCTATTTCATCCTTTAGCGGAAAAAGTAAATATTTAATTAGGTAAATGTAGCCCTCACCTGGTAGAAGTCATAATTAGCCGCCTGGACGTCAAACGGATCCTCGCGTGGAGCCTGTTTCCTGCCACAGTTACAGGAGCTGGTGGAGCGCCCCCTGCTGTTGTGGTTCAGGATGGGCGGGTTGCGATCCATGTCCGTCTTCTCTCCTGCAGAGAAGTCAGATTTCATGCGTCTGCGTTATTGATTTCTATTATCCTGACTCCCTTTGAATACAAATAAATATTATTTAATGCTTCATTATTTCGGTCTAAATCCAGAATACAAAGTAGCAGAAAGAGTTCACCTGGCTGAGGCAGCAGGTGGAACTTGTGGACGCAGTGTTGGTCGGTCAGGCTGCGCTCCTCACACAGCTGGTGGCCGTTGCTCCAGAACTTGTAGCAGTCCTCGTGCAGCTGCAGAGCGTAGCGCTGGAAGGCCACGCCACGGGCGTGCTGGCTGTACACCCGCAGAGCCTGCGCCAGCTGGTTCTTGTGCACCGTGGTGGTGTAGTTGTGGGGGAGGTTGGACTGGTAAGCGCTGTGAGCCAGCGGCAGAGCTTTCTGACACCTGTTCTCAGAGAACTTTGTGTCAGCGTCCAGAAAACCCTCCAACACCTTCAGCTGGCCTTGCACCTTGGAGGCCAGCTCCACTATTTCTTCCTCCGCGTCGCCGACTAGGACTTGGTGGAGCTTCGAGGCCACCTGGACCCACTTGGAGTAGGTCGGCAGCTCAAAGTGCGACGGCTGCGGGTTGCGGCCGACGCTGTCGTCGAAGCCTTTCTTGGTCAGCACCAGCTCGACGTGCTGCCAGAGGAACTCCTTCAGGCTGCAGTCCACCAGCTGACCGCCCATCAACACGCTGGCCGGGTCTCCGCCGCAGCCGGGCTGCCGAGCCGACCGCCGCATCTGCTGGTAGCGCCTCGGCCCCGACACCACCGGCGTGGAGTCCGGTTCAAGCAGGGCGCAGTTGGACCGCAGCTGGCCGAGCAGGGAGCCCACGGGGTCCTCGTCCGCCGCCGGGATCACGTACACAAAGGCCTGGTTGGCGGGCACGGTGAACAGGCAGTTGCTGCTCTGGTTGGTCAGGACTCTGCTTTTACGGAAGATGCGGTAAATCTGGTCCTCCAGCGCGTGCTGCAGCCGCCTCCTGGGGGAGTGCTTTTTGGGCTTGTCAGGGTTTCCTCCAGACTCTGAGCCGTTTGCAGAGACCTTTGGGACAACAAACAAAAAGTAGTGTCGGTTAAATTCATACGAAACACAAACAGTAACAGCTGCAGTAGTGGCATTGTTTATAAGCATGTCATTTAAACATTATACAGAACCACAGACCTTCAGAGAGCCGTTCATCTGGAACACGAAGAGCAGACGCGGAGGACACGGCCGACAGTTCACCTTCCACTCTTTGGACACCGGACAGTCTTTGATGGCAGCTCGGATCAGAGGCAGCACCTTCTGCCGCAGGGCGTCCAGCGCTCTGAAGAGACGGTCGTGGGTCACGTCGAAGGTCTGGTTCGGGTGCACGAGCAGGAGCACGTGGCACACGGAGAACAGGTAGAGCAGGTGGAGGCAGTGCTGTCGGTCCAGACCCGTCCACACGTCGTGCGCATCCGAGTGGGCCGCGCCGGCGCTCAGAGACTCGCAGGCCAGCAGCAGCTGCCGGCTGTCGCACACGGAGGAGAGAAGCAGGTACAGCACGCGAGTCTCCTGGTGGTAGAAAGCCCGGATGTTGCCGTCCTCCGGTCCGTCGTCGAACAGCGAGAAGATGTGTTTGTCCGCCAAGTTGTTGAGGATGGTCTCCTTCTGCGGGCCGGGCTGCATCGTGCTGCTTTTACCGAAAACACCTACGACACACAAGCCGTCGTCCCGGTACTGGGCGTCCTCCTGGAGGTCCGCCTGAAGCAGAGCCCCCATACTTACCGGGAAAGTCATGTTCGCTTCCTTCATGTTGGTTGGGGGGGAATAAAAACAACGACGCACGCATTTCCGGTTTCGCAGACTAAAATGTCCGAGTAGATGCAACGTTTGTTCTTCTTCTTCTTCTTTTTTGAGGTTTAGTCGCGGTTGGTAAACAATGAATTGGTGCTTTATCGCCACCAACTGGTATGGAGTGTATATCAGGATGTCTAGTACTTATAGTTTATAAAATAAAAAAATAAAAAATAAGAAACAAAAAAAAAATGCAACGTTTGTTTTAATGTCCCCCTGTTGTTGTAAGAAGTCAATTATATTCAATTAAGTAAATGTAGCAGTGCAACAGCGTAGGAATAATAAGTCCAGCATTAGGAAAACGTTTTTATGTGTCATTAAAATGTATTAAAAATGACCACATTAACTTTTAGCATTTGTATACCTTTATAAACTGTTTATTGAAAAGCAAAATTGCTGTCAAACTATTTTCTCTCAGACAATAAATTGACTAATTGTTCCAGTATTACTGCACAAACATTCTGCACAGTGACGGTCAAACAATAAGAAACACACATTCTTGAGTGGAGGGACTTTAAATGTGTCAATTATTGAAATAGACTTTTATGTCTTAGAGGGGAAGGAAAAGGTTCTGACATCCAAATATTTTCCAGACATCATGTCACCAGACAAATGGGGAAAATTGAAAATACAGCAGACCGACTTCCACTTCTGCGTTGATACTAGACATTTCAAACCATCATGCTCTTCATCAGTTATTCAAGACCTTCAATGCTGCAGCTAAAAGCCTTTGAGACAGGTCACATGATCAGTTACTATATATATCCCCTCTGAAATGAAGCAAACTCATTTGTTAAAATCCAGAATATGACTGGAAGCCACATTGACTCCAGTATCAGGTAAAGTATTACACTTTGTTTGAGGAATGCAAGAAGATAATTAAGTTATCTTGAAACTAAAGTATCTACAATTCAGTTGTAATCCAAAATGTGAATTGTAGTTATTTCCATTTAAATTGTGACTAACATATCTTTTAGATTTGACCATAATTTAAAATTATATATATATATATATATATATATATATATATATATATATATTGTAGAATTCTAGTTATTTACATAGGCTACAATACTTGAGTAATGGTAATTACATCATGTACTGTTGCATTTCATTTATATACATTTTAAATAAAGCTTGTAATGTAATAAATTGTGGACCTATTTTTATGAGTGTGACATTTTACTCACATATTATATATATATATATAATATTTTAATAAATACAGTTTTGGTTTGACGTAATAAACAGCCCTCCGTGCCTCCAAAAAAACAAAAAAAACCTCTCACACGTCAGGAGGAGAAGGCGTTAACGTGCGCGTTCACGACCTGCATGTATAGAGCCTCCGCTTTCCCTCTGACGTCACCGCCGTCTGACGATCATCCGCGAAATCCCCGATAACGCGACGCGCGCTCCCACCCCATGCTCTGAATGGGGGTCTCTCAGTCCAGCTCCTGACAGCGAGCCCATAGTCCAGCAGTGATAAACCGGAGACGCCAACGACGGTCCGCGCATCCAAGACGCACCGCGGTCAGACGCAGACGCACCGCCGGTTATAGACCAACAAGTCACCTGCTCCACCGGTAATAGTCCACGTTCATTCAGGTAGTGTGCTCGTGCACCCGACAGTCCCAACTAGTTCGGTCCAGAGTAACGACTCTTCTTAAGTGTTCTGACGGGCGGAGCTGTCTCTGTCTGTCCAGGAATGAGAGATGATGGCCGGCTCTACAGCAGAGGAGAAAACCTTCCGACGTTTCCTGGAGCTCTTTCTCCGGGAGATGAGAATGCCTCTGCAGGAGAGCGACCCGCCGCCGATGCGCCCGTTGTCGGACCTGGTGACCGAGGACGAAGTGGAGGGGGAATGCCTCGACCTGTGTCTCCAGCACCTCTACAAATAGTTAAGTGTCCACTTTTCTTTCTTGTTTTAAAATGCCATGGCATGTAGTTGTGTACCGTGTTGGTGTCATGTATATAAAATAAAATAAAGTCACTGTAGCAGTTTACACGGTGCTTGTTTTGACCGGGTCCACATCAGATAATCCGGGTGTCTTCATGCCATGCTGGGTGTGTCCAACACCAAGTTTAGTCAAGTGTCTCTACTGAAACATGAGGAATTAAAGATAAAACACAAGTTAAACGCGACCCAGGGTCGTGTGGTATTATTCTGTATTATAATAATTTAATAATAATTACAAATGTGCGTGTACAGTGCCTCCTTGATTTAATGTCGGTGCTGGAAGGTGCACAAAAGGTGAACCCCTGTTTTTTTTTGTTTTGCGTAACAGCACTACGTCACGATGGTGTAGGAAGCCATCGCCATCACCGCTGAGCGCGTCTTCATGCGGGCTAAAAATAACCACAACCGGTTACACGTTATTAGCCTCAATCGTTATAGACTCTTCAAATTCCAGAGACACAGACGGAACCGTCGCTGCATTTTTTTCTTTTCTGGAAATAATTCCAGCTCATGACATTTTTTTTATTGCACATCAGTGTCTATAATGCATACAGACAAATGCATATAAAAATAAATGTAAAATGATGCTCTGCTTATGATTTGAATGAGTTAATCTCTTCAGAATCTAGTGTTTTAGACGTGATAGCCTCACAGAGTTAAGAGAGAGAGAGAGAGAGAGAGAGAGAGAGAGAGAGAGAGACAGAGAGAGAGAGAGAGAGAGAGAGAGAGAGAGAGAGAGAGAGAGAGAGAGAGAGAGAGAGAGAGAGAGAGAGAGAGAGAGAGAGAGAGAGAGAGAGAGAGAGAGAGAGAGAGAGAGAGAGAGCTCTGCTGCCTGGCCTGGTTTTTTGAAATCTAAAATAGGTGCAGAAACTGTGCTGATGAAGAACGAGGTGGAAGGACTCATTCTAGGGCACCGAAGTGGCAACGGGGACTGCTGCTCGCAAGTACGAATTACAAATGACTTCTTGAAGGCCAGTTTTGCCACGCAGAGCTCATGCGTGCGACTCCGAAAAGGTCAGGATGAGCTCCAGCAGGGATGGAGAGAGCATATGTTTCTGTCAGGTGCTTTTCATATCCTTTATTTTCTCAAATAAAAAGGTGGAGAGCAGACCTGTTTGGAGGAGCAGCCGTTATTAGTGTTTTAATTCACTGCGTATTCGTGTCGTCTTGTCTCAGATTTGTCCAGGTTTGATTGGCTGGTGAGATATATATATATATATATATATATATATATATAGCATTTCCTTTATCCTTAATATATTTTATAAATTGATAATTTGTTTTGTATGTAAAATCTTAATCTGCAGAGTAACTGTTGATTTGAACTTTCAGATATATGTAATAAAGTAAAAGCTATAACATCCCCCAATTATGAAGTAGCAGAAAATGGAGACACTCAAGTAAAGTACATCCATCCATTATCTGTAACCGCTTATACTATTCAAGGTCCGGGGGCAAGTACAAGTACCTCAAATTTGTATCACCACTTAGCTGTTTTAGAGCTATTTCTTGGCAAAAACAAACAGACCGGCAGCGGTGACTGTGTTCAGCTTTCTGAAGAGTTATGGTCACCGTGGGTTGGCAGGTTTGATACCATCGTGCCTCTGCAGAGACAGCTGTATCTGGCAACCTGCACTACGGCTGGTGAACCACCTGAGAAGCCGTCATTTGAACCTCTTCACTGAAGCCTTCACTGTTGTTCTTTGCCGTTCTTTCTTTAATCAACTGTTACTCTGCAGATTAAGATTTTACATACAAAACAAATTATCAATTTATAAAATATATTAAGGATAAAGGAAATAAAGCAGTCAAAATTAGCTCCACCTCAACCAGCTACTACACTAAAATAATATAAATAATAATTTAACATCTCAAAAGGAGGCATCTAGCATAATAAATACTCTCGATAGATTCAATACATTTAATTGATGATGCTTTTGTACTTTTATTTTGTTCTTATGCAGGACCTTTACTTGTAATGGAGTATATTTCACACTGTGGCATTGTTACTTTTACTTAATTAAAGGATGAGAGTACTTCTTTTACAACAAATATATTTTCTTTTTCTTTAATCAAATCTCTGGGCTCCCTGACAAGTACAAGCCTTTATATGTTGAACAAAGCAGAAACATGTCACCATTAAGTGGAGAATTAGAGTGGTGTAATATCCGTGTTGCTCCTGCTCCTCACCAGGTTGTCTCAGTCATTTAAAATGGAGTCGGTCCAATCTGGCTTCGTCAGACGGTCATTAGCCAAACTCACCAAAATAACTGTAGCTCACTGCTGAAGTAAAATGTCCCTCTGTCTCTGTTTCCTGGCCAAGGAAGCATCTCGTACAGTACATTTGGCTTGTTGGAGTCTATGAATCGCTCTCTGGAAGCCGTCCATGGAGCAGTTTATCTTAAGAGTCCCTACCAGCAGCTGGACGTTACAGCTGCTCACAAGGTCAAAATGGGCACTCAAGTTTTGCTGCTTTATGTACACAGAATTACACAGAATTACACCGTTTTGAGGTTTTGGGGATTTTGATATGATGCTACAGGAATGATCCTAAAATCATGAGGAACACTGCCCCCCCTCTGGAACAACAAGATAATGTGTCACATGTTGACGTTCAAGTGACACATAGATTATGACTCTTGCTCTTTAAATCTTGTAGTGTGACATTTTATTGCAGAGTAATAAAAGCCTGCAGACTGATGGATGTGAGGAGAGGCTCAACGAAATGTCAGACTTCTACACGGCAGATCGCCGTTTGTTTCCAACCGACAATCGACTTTGGCTTTGACCACAATTCACCCGTTCAGAGAGAAGCAGACACACAACACAATATGTGTTTTTGAAGTTTATATCTTGGATGTCAAACTGATTCATCAGTGAAAACATGTTTAAAAAGATAAAGATAGAAGCTAAAGCTACAGATTAGCTACAATGTAAAAGTGAACCACCTGGAGATCGAGACAGAAGACAATGAAATGTGTTTCTGTGAAGTCGGGTAGGTCTTTATTCACTGTTACAAGCATTAAAAAGCTAAAGCAGCATGTGTAGACATTCAGTATACCTGCTAACACTATTGAAGGATGCGCTAACGATAGCTAATTATATGCTAATGTTAGCATTAGAGGTTTTTACATAGAAACAACATTTTAGAAATGTTTATTTCCTTCCAACCACTCCAGATAAAAACTATCACTATTACACAACGTTTAACGAGCTCCAAATCCACTAAAACCAGAATATATGAAACCATTGATGAGAGTCTACGAAGCAGAGACGGATAGCTGTCGGAGCTGGCAGATGCTACTCTATGATTAGCCAGGCTACTGTTGTAGGGCGGGACTTAGCGGATGGTCAATGGAAATATATAATGATATATAAAAAGTATTGCATGAGAGTCTATGGAGACGAGCCGGATAGTTGTCGGACCCTGGTCAGAGCTGGACGATGCTACGATATGATTGGTCAGGACTTAGCGAAGGGTCGGTTATTATAGAACCTTAATACAGTAGGTATTTAACCCAAACTATAATTCTCCCTAGTTAGAATAGATCTAGGTCTATGATGATAATATGGCAACGTAAGAGAGGTCATTTTAAGGGTGCCTTGTGCATTGGTATCACTCCGAAATCCCAGTTATTGCAGGTTTAACCGAGTATTTTTCATGATGTTTGTCTAAACAAACCTTTTAAGATCAGAAACCAGACACTGGACCTTTATATTGAACGGACAAACTGTCAACATCTATTAGAGCGCAAATGAAGAAGAAGATGAAGAAGAAGCAGCTGATCTCACGGATTTCAGTGCCGTCGTGAGTCAAACTCAGACTCGTTAAAAGGGAACTACTGATCAAGTATCAACCTTCATTCAAGAGCTGATACGCGACCGAATGCATCACTCATGCTGTCGTTAACATGGCGGCCGGCTGCCAGTTAAAGCTGTCGTACATGTCGAGGAGGTCTGATCCCTCCTGAACACCTCTTTACAGTATATAGCTCAGTTGTCAGGGTAACATCCCAGGTGTCCTTGCACAGTAATAATGGTGTTTTTGTAGTCGGTCTGAATGCGGCGTTCTTCATGCTGTATGTGACAGTTTGATAACAGGGCTTTAGACCACAGCAGAGCTAAAGAAAGCAGAACACCAGGTTCTTTAGAGTTTGTGCTGCTTAGAGTTAGGAAAATATGGCAATAAATAAATAAGTCAAACATCAGAGATTTCTATCCAACTGTTCCTTTAATGTCTCTGTTCTTGCAATGACATATTTATGGCGATTAGTGTGTCAAATACTGAGATATGCAATACCCAAGCTTCACCACTGATCTTTTCTTTGATATCTTACTCTCAGAATTAAATAATAACCATGTTTTTCTACAAACCCTTTTATTTATTTAACAACAGTCTTTGATTTGTTTGCCTTTATTAGAGAGACACAGTGAAGAGATGACGGGAAACGGACACAATAAATGCCTGACGAAATCTTTCACAAGGTTTATCAAGGCTATTAAGCTGTGGTTGTAAACAATGTAGTATGCTAGCTAACTAGCCAGCTTACCAGCTAACTAATTCCACCATGCTTTAATGCTACACTGGTTACAGAAAATGAGGCAAACAAAGTTGTCAGTCATCTGGTGATTCCTAAGTGGATGAAGCATTAAGTTGTTAAATTTTACTCATTTTCTCTGGCTCTCTCTCTCTCTCTTACGTCACAACATTTATGTGGCGGCTTTAGTTACTTTACAAATTACGATTGGCTGCTTTTCCTTTTAATAATGTTAATAATGTTAATGTCTTCGTAATAATTTTGAGGTTTGGACTTAAACACTTTGAAGGTGTCACTTTGGACTCTGGGTAATTTTGACAGTATTTCTCACCATTTTAGACTTTTTCTTTTACAAACAATCAAGCAATTAATGGAGAATATAATCAACAGATTAATCCATAA